CCCGGCCTGGGGGGCGCCTTCCGGCCTGGCACCGACAACGTCACTGTCGCCATGGTCTGCAGGGGAGAAACGGAGGGGGACGGTCAGGGGGGAGGTCCATCCTGGTGACCCCACATCCCAAGTCCCTCAAGCAGTCCCCACTGCCTTCCGTCCCTAGACCTCATTCTGCATGTCTGCAAAATGGGTCAAAAAGTACTTAAGTACCCGGGCCACCCGCCAAAAGGTGAGCAGTTCAAGCCCACTTCAAGGTCCCTCAGAAGAAAGGCCTGCTTATCTGGTTCTGAAAGGTCACAAGCTTGAAAACCCTATGGGTCACAGTTCTGCTGTGCACACAGGGGGTCTTCATGAGTCACCATGGACCTCCTGGCAACTTCCACTCATTCCCCTCTTCATCCATTCATTCATTCATTCCATTAATAAACACCTACTGTGAGGTAGTTAGGAGCTCTGGTGGCGTGGTGCCTAAGACCTCTGACTGCTAACCAGAAGGCTGGAGGTTCAAACCCACCAGCCACTGCTCGGAAGGAAGGTTGGGCAATCTACTTCCATAGAGATACCGCCTCAGAAACCCAAGGAGGGGTCGCTATGAGTCAAGTCAAGTCAATGGCAGTGACTTTGGTTTGGGCTTTGCTTCCAGTGGGTGTGGTTTGGGCTTTGCTCCCCTAAAGACTGACAGCCTTGGAGACCCTGTGGTGCAGTTCCACTGTGTCCTCTAGGGGCGCTGTGGGTCAGAATCCCCTCCAGGCACTGGGTTTGGTTTGGGCTTTGCTTCTGTGAAGGTAGGAGCTCTGGTGGTGCAGTGCCTAAGGCATCTGACTGCTAACCAGAAGGCTGGTGGTTCAAACCCACCAGCCACTCCTCGGAAGGAAGGTTGGGCAATCTACTTCCATAGTGATACTGCCTCGGAAACCCAAGGAGGGGTCGCTATGAGTCAAGTCAAGTCAATGGCAGTGACTTTGGTTTGGGCTTTGCTTCTGTGAAGGTAGGAGCTCTGGTGGTGCAGTGCCTAAGGCATCTGACTGCTAACCAGAAGGCTGGCGGTTCAAACCCACCAGCCACTCCTTGGAAGGAAGGTTGGGCAATCTACCTCTGCAGTGATACCACCTCGGAAACCCAAGGAGGGGTCGCTCTGAGTCGGATCTGACTCGAAGGCAGTGAGTTTGGTTTGGGCTTTTGTGAGGTAGGTTGGTAGCTTGAATTCACACAGCAATGCCACGGAATGAAGGCCTGGAAACCTGCTTCTGTAAGCTGGCTGCTGTTGGGGTGTCATCAGCTCAATTTCTGACTCACAAGGGCCCCACGTGACAGATCAGAGCTGCCCCACAGGGTCCTCTCGGCTGTAATCCCCATGGAAGCAGATCACCACGTCTGGGTGGGTCCCAACTGCCCACCTTTCAGTTAGCAGCTGAGTCCTTAACCCCTGCGCCACCAGGGCTCCTTCCACAAAGACTACAGCCTTGAAAACTCTACAGAGCAGTTCCCCTGGGCAGCAAAGGGCTGCCGTGAGTCGCAATCACAGCAATGGGTTCTTTTGTTTGTTTGTTACTGTGAGCCAGGCACCGTTCTAGGCACTGGGGTTAGGGTAATGAACGAGCCAGGAAAACATCCCAGCCCTGAGAAGCAGCAAGTTCTAGGCATGGACTGTCCATCCTGCGGGCCACTCAACCACGTGTGTCTACTGACCCTTTGAAATGTTGCGAGTTCCACTGAGGAAATGCATTTTTTAACATTTCTCTCATCTTAATTACATTTCAGTGTAAACAAGGCTGGTGGGCACTTGAAATGTGGCAAGTCTGAACTGAGGAGCTGTTACAGGTAACATACACCCCAGATTTCCAAGAGAGTGTACAACAAAAGGAACATACAATCTCTTATTAAGAAGCCTCTATACGGATTGCATGTTGAAATACCAAGGCTATACGGGGTTAAAGAAAAAGTCATAATTAGCATGAATATCACTTATTCCTTCTTCTTCTTTTTTTTGGTAATGTGACTATTGTTGTTGTTGTTATGTGCCGTCGAGTCGACCCGACTCATAGCGACCCCTCCTTGGGTTACCGAGGCAGTATCACTATGGAAGTAGATTGCCCCATCTTCCTTCCGAGGAGTGGCTGGTGGGTTTGAACCGCCAGCCTTCTGATTAGCAGTCAAGTGCCTTAGGTACTAAGCTAAATGTAACTATTAGAACATTTTAAATTACACATTTGGCTGACACTTATATTTCTATTGGACAGCACCGCTCTAAGCCCAGGAGAAAAATAAGAAGATAAAGAGGTAAATTATACAGTGCGTTAAATGGTGAGAAATGCCGGGGAGAAAAATGAAGCAGAGAAGGGGGGTGTTAAGGCTGGGGTGGGGCAGGGGTGGGGCGTGAAATCTTCATTGTGGTGAGAGAGAAAGCCTCCCTCATGGGGCATCTGAATGAAGACCCGGAGGAGGGTGGGTGCAAGCCATGCAGATGTCTGGGGGAAAAGCATTCCAGGCAGAGGAACAGCCAGTGCAAAGGCCCTGAGGCAGGGAGGGGCCTGCATGTCCACAGCGCAGCAAGGAGGCCAGTGGGGCTAAAACAGAGTGAGCAAGGGGGAGCGGGCGGAAGGTGAACTCAGAGACGGGATGAAGGGGGCCCTGTGGCCACAGTGAGGACTTTCTTTTCCCCCAAGTGAGATGGGAGCCAGGGGAGGGTTCCCTGACTACCGTGGGTCAGCCGCACACCCGCAGGACAAGCTCCAATCTCACTGCCTCAGTTGCTCTCTTTGTGAAATGGGTCCACTAGCCTCATCCATTCACTCCCTGAGGCCTCTCGGGTAGCAGGCCTGTCCCAGAGTCCATCTGGGGACACAGACCAGGGTCTGCCTGTCTCTGGGAGCTCCCGGTCAGGGAGTGGACCAGCTCTAGCCTCAGACCCTCCCAAGCCAACGTGCCATGAGCTATAAATGGAGGCTACCCAAGGCACTGAGTGAATATTCTAGAATATACTAGATTCTTCCCTGCACTTAAGGGAGGCAGAGACGGGGGGTGCAGACTGCAGGGTAATCCAAACACTTTCCCGACCCTTCGTGACACCCTGGCCCTAAGAAGTCGGCCCCTCCTCCCCACTGGCTCCCATGTCCCCATTAATGCCCAGCGTTTCTCTGTCCCATTGTCCTGGCCTCTAGCTCCACACACCAGGCCACTTCCCCATCCCCACCACTCCCCCAGAGGTCCCTCCAAACACAGCTCCCCTTGAAATATCTTAAGACCTGGACCCAGCAGGCCTTGTCCTTCCCACAGGGTCTGTCCCGCCAGACACTAGGAGCTGGTTCACGAGGTCTCCCTTCCTCCCAGGTCCTCTCCCCACTGGCTCCCGGCGCCTCTGGCCCCTGAAGCTCTGGGGCTTCAAAGCCGGGGCCTTGCTCTCTGAAAGCTGCGGGGTTCCAACACCAGCGGATGGGGCTCTCCTCCACCCTCCAGGCCCCTAAATTCCCGGGCTCACCCCAGGCGTCTGTGTGGCCTTGACCCACCCAGAGCCAAGCTCCATGCCAGGGACTTTATCCCCCACTCTCACCCCACCCCACCCACTTCCTCTCCAGCCCTGTGGCCTTTGACCAGGAAGAGTTTGGGAGCTGTTGCAATCCTCCAGCCCTAAACATCCCTTCCCTGGAGCCAGGAGTCCAGGCCCCCAGCCCCTCTTTTCTCAGACCCAGGAGTCCAGGCCCCCAGCCCCTCCTCCGTCAGACCCAAGTGACTGAACCCCCAACCCCTTCCCCCTTGGACCCTAAGTCTGGGCTATCCCACCTCACGCATCCAGGCCCAGAGGGGAGGATGCCTGGGTTCAGAGGAAGGCCAACAGCCCAGGTGGGGGTGGACTGCCTCTGCCAGAGCTCATTACCGTCACCTGGGCAGGTGAACGCACCTGCCCTGGGAGGGGCAGAGACTGCTGGCTTGAAAGGGAAAAGGTGCCAGGGATCCGCCCCTGGGGCAGGGGTTGGGGCCCTTGGCATCCAGTTCTCTGACCTCAGCTTAGTGCTTAGTGGTAGTCAGGAATCCTTTCCCAGGCCGCCTGCTTCGAACTCAGGAGTCCTGGTCCCAGTGCCTTCCTCCCTCAGACCTAGGGGTCCAGGCCCCCAACCTCCTCCTCCCTCAGACCCAGGAGTCCCGGCCCCTCCTTTCTCAGACCCAGGAGACGTGGCCCCCCCTCCTTCAGACCCAGGGGTCCTGGCCCCCAGCCCCTCCTCCCCCAGACCCGGGGGTCCTGGCCCCCAGCCCCCTTCTCTTTCAGATTCAAGAGTCCAGGCCCCGGCCCCCTCCTCTCTTAAACCTGGGAGTCCGGGGCCCGGCTGCTCCTTCACCCCAGGAGTCCTGGCCCCAGCGCCCTCCCCCCTCAGCCCCCAGAGTCAGTCAGTCCGCCCCCTCCCTTCCTCGAGTCTCGGAACCAGAAGTATGGTCCCCAGCCCCATCCTCCCCGAGAGCTCGGAGTCCGCGCCCCCAGACCCTCATCCCTCATCCCCAGGGACCCAAGCCCCAGTCCCCTCTGCGCTCGGACCCAGGAGTCCTTGCCCCCAGCCTCCCTCCTGGGGCCCCCCCGCCCCCCGGATCTAAGAATCCGAGCTCCGGACCCCCATCTCCCCCGGCCCTTGTCGCCGCCCCCTCAACTCGCAGACCCCTCGGGGATACCTGGGGGCGCCGACTCGTGTCGGGATCGGGGAGATGGGGACACGGGGATCCCGGGTCCGCGTCAGCGCGCTCGGGTGCAGGTACCCCCGCGACCCAGCGCGGGGCGGGGCCACGTCGCGTCACGGGGGCGGGGCCGGGCTCTGACGTCACCAGCACCTGCCCAG